TGCTTGCAGAGCTTGCTGAATTGAGGTCTCATGAGATTCCCTCAGGTACGGCATATCGACAGATGTCACGTAGGACGATGGCCCTCAAAAGCGAACTTTGACCAAAAAAGAGGATTTCTGTTCACTCGAATCACTGTTAGCGGTCATGCTAGAATGTCTTCTGCGATAACAGGGTGGCAGCCATTTGCGTAAAAGTATGTTTTCTTGATACTGGACAACAGCGACCAGCCCGTTTGTCTTCAGCAAATGCCTATGTATGGCAAACACACGCCTTTGCACTGACAGTATATGTTTTTGCAGCTGCTGCTGATAAGATGTTAAGAGCTATGATCTCACGACTTGAACGGCTCCTGCACCCCGATACGCATCTTGCGGCGTCACTTAGCAGGAAAGCAAGGTCCTGCTCCCCACCCTGTGTGAAAACTTGATGGAAAGGCACATACATACTCTCGAGCATGTGGCATTTTGACCTTATATGGCCATGATGGGCTTGCTTTGCCGTCAGGATGTATAGATGCTTGGAATTCCTCGCTATCAACCCCCTGCTAGCATCCGCGTAGTGTAAATCCCCAAAATGTCCGAAATGAAAATGTGCTACACTACACAGAGACTCATCTTCAGAAAGGTGGACATCACGTGCTAGCTTCCCAGGCCCCACCTCTTAAAGGCACATGCACATGCATAGACACTAAATATGCACGCTGTTCTTTATACATGCTGTGTTTGCACTTTTTGGGGGGGTACATGCCAACCAAAATGTTGCTGATGATGAGTTTGATGTTGAAATGTCAATATGAACAATGTCGGGGGCACCTCAATTACATGTATGCTGTCTGTATATGTAACAATAAGTCTTTCAGTTGGAGTAGTTCCATGGTAGTTGTGTCAGTCGGGGGTTGCTAATAGACTCAATACCAATGGGCATTCGCCAGCACAATTCACGTCCTTTACGTCATCCGTTACTTGTAGACGGTCAGTAGCCAGTTCATCAATTGAAAGTCAACCTAGAGCTTAAACGCCTAATTGACTTTCTTTTTTTTTTTTTTAACAGTGTGCAGAAGGAGTTCATTCGTAAGCGCGATCTGTCGGAAGAGTGCCCAAAGAGACGATGTCAATCGCACATCATTTGAAGAAGGCATTTGGCAGTCGGTATCCCTGTTTTCATTATAAAGTGTGTCGATCATATAGACAATATGTCAGGCCTGATTTAAATATGTCGGATGTCAGGTAGTATATCTTTAATAGCGTGTGTCAGTACTTGACACGGTGGGTCATACTCAGTCAGTAGACAGTAGATCAATGGGCTTTATGTCAATTGGCTTTATGTCAGGTGGCACTTAAGGACTATGTCACTAGATATTTCTTTCAAGTACTGTAATTCTGTTGGAAGTAGATCAATATATTTTCTTTTTTTCATGTGTAAGCACTGTCAGCAAGAGTTACTTACAGTATATCACTTGCTGGATGTGTCAGAATAGTTTGGTCGGCAGCCTGCCGGAGAACATAATTCACTGGGTCGTAGATCCGTCGCTCGTACATCGGTTCACACTTTCTCATTAGAAAGTATAGATTCAGTAATATGCCAGTAGGTCCATTTGGGTCTGCTCTACATGAGCAGTGTTTTGGCAATACCTCAGTATGCCATGACGACAGTACAGTATATCGGTTGATGGATGTACATTATAATTGATCAATCGGCTCTTTGGGGTTTCCCCAAATGCTTTATGAGCCTGGCGGGCGTGTTAAAGTAGTGTAAGTCTCTGCTGTAGGTGTTGCATCGGTGAATGTCAAGGAGACAATCCATCAAGTGAAAGTATGTCAATAGGTTTTACATCAGCCTTATGCGTGTTTGTTTGTCCGTGCATCCAATGGTCTTACAGTATGTCTGCTGTTGGTATGTCTGCACTCCGCAGGAATTGAGCCAGTAGCCTGTGAGACACCGCGCAGTTCCAGTCTGCTGGCGGTTTCACCGCTGTTCCAACTGTTGGCAGTTGTCAGACACACTCAAATGTGACCGGCCACGGCTGATGACTTCATCCTCAATAGATGCTCCCGATAGTTATTGGTCGTGTTCCGCAAGGTGGTTTTTGTTTTTTGCTTTTGAAGCGGAGCCACGAGCAAAGGGGTAAATGGAGGTTTTGGGTCCCACCGTGGTGCAATATTTACAAGGTACAATAAATCGCATCGGGGATATTGTTCGGCCGCAGCCATTCATTTTTGATGACAGCATTCAGGCCAGACGTTTATGAGCTGGGCTGCGAAAGTGCGTAATTCAACTCGGTTGGTGGGGCGGGCGGGGGTCATCAGCAAAGAGGAGCCGCCAGATAAACAAATGGAGGATTGACGGCTTGGGAGTGAGGCGTTAAAAAGGAAGTTGAAGGGGGGGGAGAAAAGACGGAAAGACATGAGCTCAAAGACAAAGGGAATTGTGTATCAATTCCTTCACCCGTTCCTTATTCCTCCCGCCCCGTTCTCGGGCTATCATGTTTCCTTTACCAATCAATAATTTACAACTGCCACTGTGGAGCAATGAGCCCCCCAGCGCTGAATGACAGATGAGGATGACAGAGAGTATTCATCGGGGCTAGCAGAGCGAACAGCGGCAGAGCTGCCAGGAGTGGTGGAAAAATAATCGATGCTCGTTGTCATAATTGTGCGATTTTCCTTCAAGTGTAACTGACATTAAAGGCGTCATACGATGGGAAGGTTATTTGTGAGGCGATGAAGTATCCGCCCACTCCACCCATCAAGTGTGAAATTATACAACCAAATACATTCTTTGTGAGACAGAAAATGTGCCTGGAACTGTTCGGATATTGGCGGATTCTTTTTAAAGACTAGCACCATAGGATGGCGGAAAAGCATTACGTATGCATTCATGAAGCTTCTCAACTCACTTCACCGTAGTTCCTTGGCACCGAGATGCTACAAGATGGTGCCAAAGAGCTAAAAGTTGAGATTTTCAGTGAATGACAGACGGTAGATTCCAAAAGAGATCTTAAAATGGGGGAATCCGCAAATGGCGAATTGCGAACAACTGTATAACTCGCAACATCCCCATTGGGTCATCTTCGTGATCACGATCGCCGTGAACCCTGGCCTTGAAATTTCGGGAAGTTTCTTTTGAAACTGACAGATACTGCGGATGCAGTTTTAACTTAAATCTTGAATATCGTTGATAAACTGTTAATGTGAAGACCTTCGGCATAATTTCGTGATCCGAGGCTATCGATATAAATTTGACATGACTTAACTGTTATCTCAGTCATGCATTGATTTTCTCCAGCATTCATCCTCATTAGAGCTTACGTTGAAACAACATTGGCGAAAGGCATATAACACCCCGGACTGGTCGACAGTCAATCGCAGCGGAAACTCGGACAAATAGTCATTTACGCCCACATTCACATCTGTGGACAATTTGAAGTTTTCACCCGATGCCATGCTTTTGGAACGTTCACCTTGGCAAGCATGGGGGAAACATCTCAATTTCATGTCATTTTAAGTAAATGTCATCAAGGTCTTGAAATTCATTTCAGTCGCTGCTGTCGACGGAGCAAAGAAACCCTCGAATGTGACACAGCGGCAAAATAAATCCATGAGTGAGAAAAACTTTTTTTTTCCCTGCGAGATAATGGAATTACGCCACATAAATGTCTCACCATTTTCCCTCCTGTCACAGAACTAATTAGAGGGACGGCGGGCAGAGAGACTGTCAGCACGGTGATATCAAAGTGGAACCGGCCTACTCAGTTCTCATTATTTTTGCTGGTGTTGTTTTACCTAAGCTGCTTTTATAGCTCCGAGCCCGCAGCTACTGCCGCCATTGCCCAAGATAAGAACGCACACCGAATTAAAGATCACCTGTGTGTGTTGTGAAATACAAACTACAGCGGTGTGTGTTTTATAAGTCCAAACAAGCTCAGGAAAATGACTGATGACAGGAGGGGAGGAAATGGCACAGCGCTGTGTATTAGGGTGTGCGCGGTGCATCTGTTGTTGTAGACATGTCCACCTACACTTGTAATCCTCTCCGCATTGGTGACCTTGACAAGCTATCGATTGAGGAAAGGGGGTGCGGGGGGAGGGGGGGGGTGAAGGAAAAGGACGCAGAAGGGGTGAAATACTTCGCGGAGATCTTTGACTTTATTTGTGTGGATGAATTAAAAGAAAGGTTAAAACGAGACAAGAGGAGGGGAAAAGAAGTGAAAAGAAAGAGGAGGTCAAGTGATATAATGGAGGGAAGAAGATTGAAAGAGACGAAGGGGGAAGTGGAAGGGGCACGACGGTGGTGATGGAAAAGGTGGAGTGGGGAAGAAGAAGGATCAGAAGGGGAGGGAAATTAATAGATGGGGGGGTGAAGATGGAGGACAAGAAACAGGATGGAGGAGAACGGACAGGGGAAAGGAAGCAGAATGAGAAAATGGGAGAGAATGCCATGGGAATGAGGAGGATATGGCAGGAGGAGAGGAGAAGAGGCAGAATTGAGAGAAAAACGAATGCCTTTGCATTTACAAACTTTATTTGATGTTAATTCCAAGCTGGTAATCTTTTGTTTTAGTCAGAGGTTAAGAAAGTAGACCTTGTTTCTCTGTCTGATATTGTATAATCATTTTCCTGTAAGACAAGGCAAAGATGTCTGCGGTTCTGTGGACATGGTGGATAACTGCCCGTTCATGTGTTTGTTATATGATCTTGCCAAAGGAGAAATTGGCAGACACTTCTCAGTCATCGCGTGTATTTGAACTGGCCCCTCATATACAAGTTTGTATTCACTTTGGTCTCTCGAGATTCTCTAAAATCCTTCTATCGTCTTTTGGCTACTCAAGGGTTAACATTTTTCCCTTGGCAAGTATGAGAGAAGAAGAAGCAAGAGGATGAAGGATGGATGAGAGGGAGACGAACTGACAAGATGGATGGAATGGGTCCCGTGTTAAAGAGCACGAAAACCCCCAACGCTTTCAGTGAAATTCCAATCATTTTTTTCCCTTCCACAACAGCACGAGAAGACGACGATTTCCTGAGCGAGCTGCCCGAGACCTTCCCGTCCGATCCGCCCGAGCCGTTGCCGCACTTCCTGTTCGAACCCGACGAGGGCTACATCGTCAAGAACAAGCCCGTCAACCTCTACTGCAAGGCCACGCCCGCCACGCAGATCTACTTCAAGTGCAACAGCGAGTGGGTCCACCAGAAGGATCACACAGTGGAAGAACGCGTGGATGAGAACTCAGGTACGGAATCACCCACATATAGCGTGAACTGTCAGAAATGGCGACCTAAATTTACAACTAAAATTCATATATTCACTCGATGAGATTATATCAGACTATTCCCAATAGTCTATCCTCTTAATTTTATTGAATACATCTTCTGCCGCTGCGGACTCCCACAATGTATGGTCATCTTCCTCGAACCAGGAAGTAGAAAACACATTTGCAGCGCTCTGGAATTTAAAAAAATTTTTTGCTGGTGATGAATTTATTTTCTCGTTTTGGGTTTGAGTAATTATGGAACTGTTCTTTCCGCACCAGAATAAAATATGGTCCAGTCCTGTCATGTTTGTCCTTGAGCATGCAAAAAGCCTGCTAAAATATGGACGGACAAACATGCAGTATATATCACACTCATTTTTTTTTTTGGGTCACTTTTGTAGAATTATTATTTTTTTCTTGTCACCATTTAAGTCACATAAAGTGTCCACCCTGCACAAGAATCAGAAATGGTTAAGGTCTGGTCACTTTTTGTCATCTCCCTTCAACCAGGAAGGAGCCCGTTAGCTAACATTCATTCAGCTAACTAATATACCGCATTCCACATTTTTTCACCTGAGTTTGTCGTTTGGCTGTTTTGAGACACACAACAATTGTTCCACCCCTCCCCCCCCCCGTCCCAGAATCTATCGGTAAATTCTATTTTCCAATTGTCTTGCGACATCTTCCGTGAAATAGCAACTAGCCTGCTAAGTAGCCTAAGGCATTTGCCGACAGTTTTACTTTTTTCAAAGGGTTTTATTTTCTCTTTGTGTCATTTTGAGTCACAATTCGGCTCACGTTCCCATCGCAGAATGAAAAATATCCCTCCTGTCATCTTATATAATCTTCCACGCCGGACAAAGCTCCTCTGTCGCTGCTGTGCAGTTCACAGTGAAACCTGCTGGTGCTTTGTGCATCATTTAGTGTCCCGGTTGTGTTTGCGGGTAACCAAGCCAAGTCAGGAAGTGAGCCCAGTTTGATGTTTCCACTGATTCAGCTGTCGCACTCACAGCGGCAAAGACACACACACACACACACACACACGCACACGCACACGCACAATAGAAAGAATGTTCTCGTTGGTGCTTTGAGATTGTTCTGTCACATCATGATTTAAAAGGAGACCAAACTATGTGCTTTAGTAGACACCGCTAAGCCGTAGATCATTGCGGTTCAAGTCTGTGTCCAATAGGCTTCATTTCTCTCTTTCCCTTTCATTCATTGTCTATTTTTTTTTCTTTTTTTATAGTCCATATGGCACAGTTTTCACAAATGTGTACTTGGGTTTCCCTCGCATGAAAGATTGCGTCGAGGAAAACAAAAGAGGAACGAGGAGGGATTAACATTTGGAGAAATGAGACAATCACTCCTCGATGCCGTTATTTTCGAGACTCGGCAATTAAAGTTGGCGTCACGTCATTGAAGCGTGTAACAAGTCAATTGTCCCAGTGTCTGAATATTTACCATCACAACACGTCCCCCACTTTATGCTACATTTTTCAAGAGGAAGAAAATTTCAACTAAAATCTGATCAACACTGTTCCTCTTCACCAAGAGACTACTGTGAGTGGGCTTTCCCAGCTCCTCCTTTTTTTAATTTTCTTGATGTGGCCAAATGTAATGGACAAAATGACATCACAATTATCACAGTGTTCATCGCGTAGTAACAATGAGCCTGTACAACTAATTCATTTTAGTATAACAGATGAAAAGTGCCACTGATAGGCTTAACAAGAATGAGCTTATACTGTATGTTACTATCATTTAAAAACCTTCCGACAACTGTTACTTTCACAAACACAGCGCAGCAACACATGCCAACAAAGCCTTGAACCATACTCGCAGGCGTATATTCTCTCGGCTGTGTGAGAGCAGTGACTTTCACTGCAGCGGATTAGTTGGGGACCTACTCTGCCTCCTCCTTTTCCTGTGAATTACACCGCATTATTTCTAGTAGACCACAGTGCTTCCCGGCACAACGTTGTACTCTGCTAAAGGCCTTTTAAATTCTGACTTTTCCATATACCTGTACTGCAAAATCCCATAAAAAATATAACGGGCCTTCTCGAAACGACACAAACTGTTGAATTATTACCTCTCTAACAGTGTCAATCAAAACTGAACACTGCTATCTCTGTAAAGGCAGACTTTTGCCCGCCCCCCCACTCCCTCCTTTATTGAATCGCATTAGATCTGTGCCTTTCTTCACTTGTACGATCTTAATTGCCCATCTTATTATGCACACCTAATGGAGATATGTGGATGTGTCAAAAAAAGGAATAATAAAAAATAGCTGGATGACAGTCAGCATGCTGTATAATCATCACCGCTGTCTTTTATGGGTTTTTTTTTTTTTTTTGCCTTCCGCCATCCTCCGCCTCTTACTCATCATCCTTCAGCATTCATTACGGGCATCGTCACGCACCTGCTCGTCATTTATTATTCACCCTGTCAGACACTCGTTGGCTAACCTGTGGATACGTTTTAACAGCTCAGGCGGTGATGTATAGATGATAAATCGAGATATAATTCAATGAAAAGTTGGATTAAATAAGCATCGAGCAATGCTTGATGTTATGTTAATAAAAGTGGATTCATCGCGCGCTCGGCTGGGCACCGCACCATTGCTCGCTCGCTCGCTCGGGGGATGCTTAAGCTCCTCTGGTACATCGTGCTCATTTAAGAACTCGGTGCTGTTTTCTTGTTTCGTTATCCTTGCTTTGGATTTTAATATGTGCTTTGTCACTTGACGCATCATTAGTAGACTTTATATCGAGGGACTCGGCAGAAAGTTTTGCATTTCATGCAAGATCGGTGATCGCTTGGAATTTGCCCATCGATTAATGATATCATAGCTTAGCTCTGCAAAATAAAATATTACAGCCAACGTACTGTAAATTGATAGGTGGGCAGAAGTATAGGTGTAGGTAGGTAGGTAGGTAGGTAGGTAGGTAGGTAGGATTGGTTAGATAGGCAGGTCGGTATGTACTGTCTGTCTCTCTTTCCGAGTGATATGTTCAATGTGGCGCATTTATTGTAGTTTCCTGCGACCGCTGAAGCCCCGACTGCTGTGCTTCTTTTCTTCCTAGCCAAGCTTCTATTCTTCCCACTCATCTCCTTATCATGTTTTCCCCGTCCCCCTCCCACCTTCACCCCAATCCCACACGCCTGCCATTTCTTCACATTGGCCGCAATGGAAGTCCTTTTGACAGCATTCCACGAATGATCCGTGCATCTGCTGCCTCTCCGCTGCCAAAACCAGCGAGCGTGATGATTCCACCAGAGGACGGAATTCTTCGATCGCAAGCCTCCGCATGTTTAACATCCTTTTTAGTTTGCGTTTTTCGAACCGAATGCATTCGTGGAACGTGACGGGTTACGCAGGCAGATGGAGGTGAGCCGCCTTCATGCTGTCATCTTGCCGGACAGCCGCGGCTAACCGTGCCCGCTGTTGCGTATGGCGTGCCAGCTGGTCACTTCCTGTTTCTCAGCAACAGCAGACACAAGACCTCGAACCAGAGACGCAACCCGCCCGTCCCCCAGATGGGGTTTTGAACACAACACAATTATCAGCCACCATGTTGGATGAAAACGTACATACGTCAAAGACGAAACACTCACACGTACATGTTATACATGGCTCTCAGTGCCTTCCATTTTGACTTCTGTAAGTAAAAAGCATGCGCGATTGGGTTTGAGATGAGATCACTGACTTGCTCATTGAAGAATATTCCATGACTTTGCCTTTAGAAAGTATCAAGCACTTTTGCGCACAATAAGTTATCTTGTAAAAGTTTTGAATTTATTTTACGAACCTTACGAACCTGACCGCTGATTATTTTATTTCTAAACTGCCTTCAAGGAGGAAGAGATGTCCATTCATTTTCTTTCATCTTGACCTTTTTCCCAACCTGTTCATTTACGGGTACCGGTACTTTGATTTGACTTCCAAAAGTCTAGAGTTACCGATTAACTCGGTCATTGATGCTATTTAAAAAAAAATGCCTTTAAAGAATGTGTTTCTTGTGTAATTTCTAAATGAATGATTATTTTCTAAAAGCAACAAAGTTCATCCATTTCACATTGAATATCTTGTCTGTGTAGTGTATTCAGTTTAATACTGCGTAGGTTGAACAAGATTAGCGGATCATTGCATTCTGTTTTTTATTCATGTTTAACGCAACGTCCGTACTTCATTGGAATTTCATTTCATTCCATTTATTTATTTATTGCATCCTTGAAAAGAAATGAAAGGCGGCATAAAAAAAGTTTTTAAAAATGTAAGATTCTCCCCTTATCAATACAAAATGAAAGACAACTATTGTCATGGCATCCTTACCAGCACAATTTTACAATACAAAGCAGAATTGATGCATTGCCCTAATTTATAATTTATAATCCGTAATCCAAAAGACATTTATAGAATCATATAAATTAGTCCAGCAGTATAAACAGTGATCTTGGATATTAATGAAAAGCAAAACAAAGAAACAACCTTATGGCCTACTCTAATGGCTCATTTTTTGCAGCATCAATAATGGATGTGGTGAACTCAGATGTATTGCCCCGCATCTCTGTGCAGTAATGTGGGCAGAACAGGGAGGGTGGAATAAACTGTTCTTGAGCCTGCTGGTTCTTGCACAGAGGCATCGCAGTCTCCTCCCCCGACGGCAGCAGGTCGAAGAGGCTGTGAGATGGGTGGGTGGGGTCACCTGCGATCCGGATGGCTTTGCGGGTCAGACGAGAGTTGTAGATGTCCACGAGTGGGGGGGAAGAGAGACATCAATGATCTTCTCAGCTTGTGATGTGGGATGCTTTGGATTGTGGGCTGTTTCCCTCACATTATTCCTGCAGAAGTTGACCTTGTTGTATCCGTATTCGATTCTTTTTTTGCATGTTTTTAAGGCTAATTTAAATCCACTGTACGCATCCATGCTTTAAAGTTGCCTCATGATGTGGTATGCTTTGGATTTGGAAAT